CAAACGTTTTTGAAGCCATTTAAAAAACTCGCAGGTTGTGTTTTATTAGGTCTAAAGCCACTCGCGTTGCGCGCTCGTGGCTTTAAACCTAATAAAACACTCCTGCTCGTTGTTTAAATAGTACATAAACAATGATCTGCATAACGTTAATATCCGGCTAGATATAAACAAGCTAACTCTTAACACAGAAAAAACAGAATTTATGTTAATAGCGTCAAAGAGAAAACAGAAACAATATTCAGGAAATCCCAAGATAAACAAGAAAGTATTAGGGATTATTCTGGATGAAGAATTAAAATGGAGAGAGGATATTGATGCACAATGTAAAAATATCTCTAAATCTATAGCATTATTAAGACGCGTGAAAAGTTTTGTAAACTTGGAGACGCTCATTACCATGTATAAGTCATTAGTTTTACCTCACTTCACATGCTGTTCAACCTTGTGGAGTTACGACAGTTGTATATTATCGTTTGACGATAAATTTCGTATTTTTCATTCAATTTTTTCCGATGTAAATATCTCAACGATATGTACGCCCCTTTAGAATCTACGGCAGAGAAGGTTGGGTGACTATACCGGCATGTATTGCGTTTCATTATTATTCACCATTGCTGGCAGGAATTGACCGCGCGGTTATCATTTGGCGCGAAGTAAAAACAGTACGAATGGCTATTTTCTTCAAATTCTTTGGAACAAACGCATACATGTTGTTTCCACATACTTTAAGTATCATATAACCCTTAAGCTTATATATGCTTGTGTTTAACTGTATTGAGTCTACTGACCGTATTTTACCCATTTAGGTTCTCATACGATTATGAAGAATTTTATAGCATCCAGTCGAGCTTTGATTCGGAACCCTGGATTACAATATTAAAATATAATAAAAATACAGTACGACTGAAAAAAGATTGTTGTTCAACTGAAGAGCAACTTCCGACTTAAACATTGAAGTTTACACTGTTTATTTTGTACTTTCCTAGCAGAAAGATTTATCTGACTCCTATAAAGAAGTCCCCAGTAAAATATTATAAATGGACCTTTGAGAAAGATAAGGCACTTATTGAATTCATATCGATCAATTATCGAAACAGATCCAAAGTATCAGTATGGGACACATATTTTTAGAGAGTGGCCATAGTTTAACCCACTAAGCTGCAGGCTTCCCCATTGACTAGTAAAATCGTCTGGCGTTAGACAAGTAAAAAAAAAGAAAATAGGGCACACTGGGGCGCATTGCGGTTCGATGGGTTAATGCGAAGAACTGTTTCTGGGATGGTGGTGCCATGCATGTTCAAATATGCAGTACTTCCTCAAACATTATGTTGTCAAGTAAGTTTGTTATTGTTCTTTGTAATACAGTAGATGTACTACCTGCTTTGTAATACAGTAGGTGTACTACTTGCTACAGAAAAAAGTTTGCAAGATGCTGAAATCCATTATGGTTTGACAAAATCTGACAGTTTAGCAGAATTTGTGACTGATAAGCAGAAAGCTACATCTTGTAAATCTAAGCCTGTCATGGAATCAGCAACAGAGTGTGGTAATTTTGGTGTGGTTATTTGCCTTTATCGATGGTACCGTCAGACCTATATCTATAAACATAGTTAGTTAAAGACTTTTCTTTACTCCAATATATAGGAGTCATTAAATTCCATGTATACATGCTCAATGATGTAAGGCCCACAAAAATTGGTCACCTTGATGCATCTGAGAGAACGAATTAAAAATGGTCGTTTTAATCTTAATAGTAACGAATAAAATTAACCATTTTATTAATTGGTCAAAACAACCAAAAATATATATACGTTATATACCGGCTGCGAGGTCCGTACTGAAAAAATATTTTCCCGAGGTCTCAGAAGCAGCCCGAGGCCGAAGACCACGGGACGCATCTGAGGTCGAGGGAAAATATTTCTTAGCACGGACCAACCTAAACGGTAAATAACGTGTTTATTTTTTTTTTGATAGTTCATGGTTATAATGAAATTCCGATAAAATTCCAGTTGTGAAGTACATTTGAGATCAGTTGCGTTTGTTACTTTAGTTTAAGCTCATGCATGGCTGACAAACTGCTAAAACGACGCGATAAAAGCTGGTCAAAAAACGTTTAGTTTCATTGCAATAGATGCTTTTCTACTCAACAAGAAAACAGAAGTTAATCTAAGTAAAAATATTTATTTTCCGATTCGTTTTACAGCATGAACATGCTTGAAAAATGCTTTTTGACAGAAAAATACAAATTTTAATTTAGTTCCGAAAAACAATTTGTTCATTACAACATTTATAAAAGCAATTTTCACCGAAATAAGCCGAGGAAAGTCTTTAAACTGCCATTTAAAGTATTTCTTAAATTTTAGGTTTAAGAACAAGTTGTACGTTGTACTATTTATATTTATACGTATATATTTTCGAATAATAGCTGAATATATGTGGAACATTTGAATGAAACCATGTAGCACTGACCATTGTTTTTCGATGTTTATATTTGTTTTTTCGCAGTTTGGTCGCAGAAAACTACGTACGTACATTTCGGGCTTGGAACTAAGTCCACTGAAGCCGATTCACTGTATTTTACTGTCTTTAGTATCGACAGGGTGGATTTGTAAACTTTTGGGTAATGTTGTGATTTTGAAAATTGTCTTCACTCTTCGGTTTATCGCTAAAAAAATAACACTTTTGGGCCACGGTCAAGATATCGTAAAAAGCAGCGCTCTGCTGCACCCAGTCAGATTGCAGGAAATCAAAAATATCACTGGGCATGCACAAATAATAAAATAATTGGTCACATTACCCAATTATTATTGGTTGAAATGACCAATTAATTAATGGTTAATTTTATTGATTAAAACGACCATTTTTAATTGGTTCTTGTAGAATAGACTGAATGATGATTTATTACAAATGTCAATCACGTTTGTTAGATGCTTAGGAGTTAATTATTAACTTATCGCATCCTACAAATATTACATTACTCTTCCTCTATTTTTTTTTTAACTGAATGTCAATCACTTAATAAAATGTCCTTGCTTTGTGTTCATACTTATGTAAATCAACGTTGTCTGGTGTCTCTATAATTTAAACGTTTATATCGTTTTACTGTTTATAAGATCAAGTCTGGTACTGATATCGTATTACCAGACTTTTCATTCTTGTTGATCTCCTTACACTTGGTTCTTGCATTGGCGGTTCCTCTGTTTCCGTCGATCTTTCCGGTGCTGTGTCTTCCTGCTCCTCCTCGCTTTTTTCCATTAATACCTTCTAAAAGTGTGAAACATTTCTTGTCACCATCTTACCATCTCTTTTACCTATGATGGTGTTGTGCTTACGTTGTACTACCGTATAATGTTCTGGGTCAAACTTTGATGTTAACTTATTGTTCGTTCTTCTTCTGTTTCCAAATGACGATGTCACCTTTTTTATCCCATTACTTGGCGTCATTATGAATCATAATTTGTCCTAGGAGGATCATATAAACACCACAGTTTCAAAGATAATTGAAGTATAGCTCTACTTCGTAGAATTAAACGATATTTAGCGCTACAGACGACACGGAAACTGTTCTTTAATGCGCACATTCTTCCACACATGGATTATTGTTCCACTGTTTGGGGTGGTTCACCTCATGCTAAGAAGATCAATTTAGCTCAAAAAAGAGCAGCTAGGGTAATTTTAGACATCACGGATAATCGTTACCCCAGTAAAGACATGTTTTTAACATTAAATTGGATGCCTATCGAGGATCGTATTAAGTACCGTAAAGCTATTATGGTCTACAAAAGTCTCAATTATTTATGTCCGGATTATATGACAAATATGTTTAGGTTTGACAGACAAGTTGATACAAAGACAAGCCGATCAAGCTCTGCAAATTATCTGTATTTGCCTCCAGGAAAACATAAACAGATATATACAAATACGTTTTGATACAGTAGTGTAAAGATATGGAACACATTAAGTTCAAAAATTAGAGAAAGCGTATCTCTAAACGACTTTAAGAGGAAATTTTTAACAAATTATTTTTTAACTAGCAACTAATAATATTTCACTCTATTGTAAATAACTTCAACTCATATTTTAACTAAAATAGCGAGGGCCCTGGACTTTCCAGGTATATTAGCTATGTAATATTTTTAACCCTCTGTAAATAAAGTTTATTGATTGATTGATTAGCAGATATTGACCAGTTCGGGGTACTGGACCATAGAAGTCGATCGCTACACTAGTCCATGGTTTGTCTTCAGTTGGTGTTATTTTCATTGGATCCGGGTTATTACCGTGACCTACTGATTGGCAAAGAATGCATTTGTCTACCATTTCTTTCACTCGTTTGTCCACATTTGGGTAACAGATATTTTCGCTTAGCAGGCTTTTCGTTTTCTCTCTGATGCCCGATATGACCTAATTTTGTTTCTTTCTTGTAATGTTGTTGGAATGACCAGCCGTGTGTTCTTCAACAGTATACCTGCTGATGCATTGTACGTAAGTTCGTAGGCGCAAAGTCTAAACGGTTTCAGATCAGGATCGTTCTCATCCCATTTTCCCTCTTTCAGACATTTCTTCACTTTTTGTACTACTGGATTGTTATGGGTTGCTTTTTTAATCTCGTCAAGTGTCATTGACTTTGGAACTGAACAGTTAGTTACATAGTTCACATAGTCTTCTGCTGATGTACTAGTTATTTGTTCTCTCTGGAATGTATTCGTGGCAAGTGTTGGCCATTCCCAGAAAACTTCTAACTTCTCCAGCTGTTTTGGGAGCTGGTACTCTACTCATGTTCTCAATTCTCTCTGGATCTGGTTTGGTCCCTGCTGCTGTAAATTTTAATCCAAAGAACGTAATTTCGTCTTGTAGAAATTCAAATTTTCCCCCTTTCACTTTCTAGTTTAGTGCTGCCAGCCGTTTTAGACAGTTCTCTAGTGCTTCGTCGTGTAACTTTCGGGTTTTACCATGAATAATAATTTCATCCACCAGGTTTTTCACTCCTCTGATATCACTAAGGTTTTGCTGTAGCACATTTTGGAATATCTCGGCTGCACTGTTCGTACCGTAATTTAATCTTTTATACTGGAACAGTCCTTCATGGGTCGAAAACGTTGTAATGAATCGACTGTCTGGGTGTAATTCGAGCCGGTGATATGCTCGCTTTAGGTTAATCTTTGAGAAAAATTTTGCTCCATTTACCTCGGCTTTAAAATCTTGTAAAGTTGGCATTGTGTGTCTCTCTCTTTCGATTGCCTGGTTTGCTTCCCTCATGGCTACACATAGTCTAATACCTCCGTCTTTCTTTGGCATGACAACTATTGGAGATATCCATGGTGTTGGTTCATTGGCGACTTTCTCGACAATATCTTGCTCTTCTAATTTCTTTAGTTCCTTGGAAACATCGTTTCTCACATGATATGGTATACGTCTTTGCCGCTGCATAACTGGTTTAACATCGTCTCGGATATGAAGTTTAATTTGTTGATTGTTTAATTTTCCTTGCCTCTTGAAAACTGTACTATATTTGTTTATGATTTCTTGTATTTTTGGATCTTTTGATTGAGGAACACTTGTGTTGATTTCTGGATTGGTCTCGCATGCAGTGCTGTGTGTATTGTTTTGATTTGTCTTTGTTTGTTTATCTTGTTTAGGAAAACTGGAAATTGTGTTAATTAGCTGGTCCAAGGCCAAATCTTGGGCTGTTTTAGCACTAATCTCGTTCCCCGAGCCTGCGATCCTCGGGAAGGAACGCGAGGTTCTGGGATAATCCGTTGCCGGAAGCCAGGAATCCTGGCTAAGATTGAACTACGCATTCCATTTCAACGGCCAATCAGATTCCTCCCTGAAACGGATTATCCCAGAGCCTCGCGTTCCTTCCCGAGGATCGCAGGCTCGGGGAACGAGATTGTTTTAGCACTTAGTAAATTTCCTCCTGCACCGTCTATTACATATGTTTGCGACACGGTATAACGCTTTTTCGATTCGAGTGTTGCTTGAAATTGTCTGTTTAAAGGCAGAGGTGTGTGAAATCCATATGCGTAGATTTTAGTTAAACTTTTACGTAACGAACTTTTTCTCTTTTAATTTCGCGTATGTCGTAGAATCAATGATGTCAACAGTCGCGCCAGTGTCAACCACAAATAAACCGTCCTGTCCATTTATTTTTACGGTCGCGTGTGTTTTCTCCTTCGTTTCTTGCGATACTGTGTAAACATAATCCTCATCTTCCGAGCTTTCAGTATTTGGTTCGCTTTGTGATATTCCGACAGCCTTTGCTTGTTGTCTTCGTTATTTATTCTCATCCCATCGTGATTGGCGCCTTTTGTCTGGGGAGGTAAAACCTTGCGTTTGTAATTTCTCAAAGTTTCCTATACTTGGGAAAGATTTTCCTCGTGTTCGACATACTTTAGCGAAGTGTCCCTTTCTTCCGCAGTCGTTACAAATAGCGGACTTCGCTGGGCACGGTTGATTGTCGTGTGGATACTTGAAACCGCAGTAATAACACTTTTTCTCAGTGGGCGTTGCCATAGCCGTTGCATTTATATTTTCTCTTGTTTTGAACTGTTCTTCGATCCCAACGTCTTGAGCTGAACTAGTTTCGTATTTTCGTCCGTCGATTAACATATTTGCCAAACTATATTTTGGGTCTTGTAGTGCTTTCTTTCGTAATCTTGATGAAGTGCCGTTCGTAACAATCTGCATCTCAATTTCAAAATCTATGTTTGTAAATTCGCAGTATTTTGCCAAGCCTCGTAAACGCGTATGAAATTTGTCGATTGATTCCTCTTTGCCTTGCTCGCTTATCTAAAAACATAGGTGCGATATATCACGTTTTTCTCTGGTTAAAAATACTCCGTCAACGCTTTCACTGCTGACTTAAAATCTTTGGTTTCGCCCTCTTCTAGAGTCTCGAAAATTTCGTGCACTTCGGGCCCCGCCTGATACAATAATAAAGCTCGCTTTCTCGCATCGTCTTTAATATCTGCTGCAAGTAAATATGTGTTGAATCTCACCAGCTATCGTGTCCATCTCGCACTTGTACTTGTAGGATCACTGACTTTGTGGTTCAAAAGCAGGCATAGGCTGTATGTTTTGTACCACCACTCTAGTTTTCCGTTATATTTTTCACGCTGTTTGCTTTTACGTCCTCGTCGCCATTGTAGACTAGACTGAATGATGATTTATTACAAATGTCAATCCACGTTTGTTACATGCTTAGAAGTTAATTATTAACTTATGGCATCCTACAAATACTACAGTTCTCTCAGATGCATCCAGGTGACCATTTTTTTTTCGTCATTTCGACAAATCCGTTTTTACAGTGTAGGCCTTGTAGGTACTAGAGATTCGTATACAATGGGCATGAAAAAGTTCATTAAATAAAATTTCAATCCATTGTTGCACCAAATGGCTTAATTCCAAATTTATTTTGGCCAGTAGAAGAAAGCGCAATGAAGACCAATATTTGCCAGATCAATTAGCACTGGTATATTTCCATATGAGTGAAAATGGCCAGAGTGTCACCAAAATTTAGGAAAAGCAAAAAGAACGATCCGAAAAACTATCAACCAATATCAGTTATTCCAGCTGTTCCTAAAATTTTTGGAAAAGTAATTTTTGAACAATTTTATAAACTATTTCAGTATCAACCGTTTGTTGAGGCATTGCCAGTCGGGATTCAGGTCACTACATATTACACTTACTGCTCTTCTTGAAGCCACTAGTAACTGGTCAGTCAATATAGACAGTGGCCTTTTCAATATTTGAGATCATAATTATGCAACATTGAATATTTTTGACCACCTCCAAAACAGCAGCATGTTGAATACTATCCTAAATGAGGTTGCACTTGTGCAATATTCTTAATCATCTTGCATTTCATGTAGCAATTGTAAGCCAGGGTTGTTCTAACTATTGGTCGTTGAATTAAGGTTTCGTCGTTTCGAACAATTCCGTTCAATGACAATATTATATAATTAATTTTTTTTTCCAATGAACGTTTGTATTATTTCGTGACTTTCATCTTCTCTTCACTTTCATGACAGATGGTGCCGCAAGATACGAAGAATTCAGCTTTGGCCATGAAACGTATGTTTGGCGAAGAAACTTTAAGATTTATTAAATATATCTCTTTTTAAATTGACCACTCTCCTCTGTAGAGGCTTTGTGTTTTGTTTTGGATTTTTTCAAGTCCCACGCTCTGCCTCTCAACTATTCTGCCTGCAAACTTCGAAAAAAAACCAAATTAAAACACAAAGCCTCTACAGAAGAAAGTGTAAATCGACCGTAATGTTGGGGGCATGTTGACTTTACCATAATTCTTTGCAAGAAGAAAACTTATCTTAAGAAAATATTTGAAAATACAGCATCAAGGCCATAAAATTTGTAAGATATAATCACAGCTTTTATCAATGTTATGCACCAGTCAAAGTAAACCCCGACCCCCCACCCCGGGATATAGGTGGGGATTGGCTTTGAATACTGTACCAAAACAGACAAATGCCCCACAATATGGGACAAAATTTTCTAGCAAAAAACAAAAAATGCCCCACCCCCTGGGGGATAATTGTAAGTCGTGTGCATGAATTTATCTCCTGCATAATATCTCCCCGACAATCTCCGGGCTGCGCGCCCCATAAACCGTCCACATTTTAAAATATTAATATTTTGTTCCATTTGAAACTCAAAAGAACGATAAAAGTATAATAATAATATAAACAAACAAATGTCGAGCTTTCCACAACAATAGATTCCATGGAAGGATGGACATATTATTAAACCGGTATTAACATATAGATTGAAAAGAAATTAAATTAATATATTTATAAAATTCTTCCCGATTTCATTTCCTTACGAGCATGCCATTTTGTCCTTTGCAAATACATGGTATAAAATGGTAGAACCTGGGGATTCCATTGGACAAAACGGTACAAAATAGTACAAAATGGCCGCAGACAATCCCCTAACAATCCCCATTATCTTCCCGGCATAATTCGGCAGAATGACAAAACCAACAAATTCCCGACATGGTTGGGACAGAATTCGATGACAAAAAGCCACTAAATCCCCCACCAAGTCCCCTCTTTGCCCGGGGTGGGGGGGGGTCTACTTTGACTGGTGCATTAATAAAATAAACTGTTCTTACAGTTCATATAACCAATTCAGGGTCACAAAGCATTATGGTAAAATTGACACCTGCCATCATTTTTATTATGGTGAATTTCAAACATACAGTTCAACTGGTCTATTTCAATTTTATTTCTTTGGATATTGTACTTTATCTAAGGAATATTAAAGCCTACACTACTGTATATATCACACATTTTGTAAATACTTTCAACATTGTTATGTTGCTATTTAGACACTGTAGAGTGTACACTGCTGAAACAATGTACCATATAACATATTTTAAAAATAATTTCAAATATTGTATTGCTATTTTTGCACAGCCACTGTGGACATCAGCTTCAGATGACAGGGGTAAATGAAATTAATCTTAATACATCTATCTATCTATCTATCTATTTTTAGTATCACCAAATTAATAAATTCAATTGAGTGACAAAAATATCCATTCTATTAACAAATGCATGATGTCTGCTTTTGCTGTTGGATATTTCAATTATTTGTTCTTTCAACGGTTCGAAAGTACATACAGTGTCAGTGAGGATTTATACTATTCAATATTTGAGATAAAACAGTAACACTGTTATCACTCGAGTCAAATTATATCCATTATTTCAGAATTATTTCATAGATGTTTTATGTAAACATAATTATGGACTTGATATTTTTTTGTGTGTGTGTTTTGATGCTACATATGTACTCAGGTGAAAATAATTTAATGTTTCTTGATCTGCTCTGAAAACACATTGGTATTGAAGGTACTAGACTTAGTTCTGAAATACCAAACACTTGAACGGACTTGGCCTCGTAGCTCAGTTGGCAGAACATTGGACAAGGTAGTTGTCCCACCGCATGAGCATGCAAACTTTTCAGCCTGTCCGGTGAGGATATCCACTTAGAGTAAAAAAAAATCATTATGGAGAGTCCATACATAGTCATAGCAGATTAATTCAAGTTAAATTACATGTACATGCTCTATTTAACCACGGATAATAAAATAAATTTATTTTATTATCCATGATTTACCACAAAACAACCCTTCACAACTGTAAAAAATTATTGCTACATTGAAATACGAGTGGGATGTGTGTACAGTAAAGGTTTTGTCTTTTAATCTGATTCACTTCCAATATTTTCATCATCAGACTCATTAACATCTAATTCATTCATTATTCCATACACTATTTTCGGTTGAAAGTGGCCAGAACTTTCCTTTTCCAACTTGCATAAGAATCAACATTGTTAGTGGAAATTGATGCCTTTTTGGGATCACCAAACTTTTCTACTGTTTTCCTACCTGGAACATATTAAAAGAACCTTCTCCTTAAAATAAAATGTGCTGCCTTGAGTTGATCAGGGAACGGATCATACGAAGGGGGTAGGGGGGTTAGCTTCCTATTTCCTCTGTGGGGGTGGTATGGATGTTTTCTGGAGTGACCCATTACAAAAATCAATGACGTGAGAAAGAATGCTTCAGTATGCTTGTCTGGCATTAGACAGAGTAAAATTCTGAATTAGGGTGCATCAGAGTGCATTGCCACTTAAAGGGTTAATAACGCATACTGTATGTAGTCAGAGGCCTATTCGTGGCTGGGGGGGGGGGCTTGGGAGAATTTATTATAATTATATACACAGGGACGCCGGAACAATGTGAAGGCAAGGGGGGCAGATTTTTGTTAAAGGGCACTTTTGAATTGATATATACTGAGAGATGTTTGCAAAACATCGGGAGTTGAACTTCGCCTAATCATGTTTTCTATTTATTGGATGATAGGGGTGTGAGGGGGTTCTCCACCAGGCGATTGTGCTATTCTTGAAGCCCGATAACTGCATTTCTTGCATTTTCTGAAGCAAATTCGTAAAAGAATCGCACTAAAATTTTTGACAATTCGCTCTTTCACCAAGGCAATTCTTTAAATTGAAGGGCACCTTTGCCCCCTTTCCCCTCCTGGTAAAGGGCAACGGGGGCGGCTGCCCCTCCTGCTCCCCCATTTCCGGCGTCCCTGTATATACATTAGATTTATCAGATATATAATAGAATATACTCATACTATTTGATTCAATCTCATCATGTTTAATGTCAGAAAATTGATGAGCAATACACTTTTCCCGTAGGTTAGTGGAAAAACACTCTGTTAATTTATCAGTGAAGGAAAAACGTTTTAAATGATTATATATCTACAATTATTGTTACAGAAATTGGAACCAATGGTTCTAAACAGATTCAATGGAAAATTTATTTCTGACCGTAATTTTTAAAGTGCATATGACATTAATACCATTCTTTCACCAAAAATCAGCAAAAATTAGACAATTCGAATAATATATATCATTCCTTGATCGGATAAATACTTTCAGAGATAATTTAGATCGAATATTCAAAAAAATAGGGTTATTCAAGACATGGCCGGGAGAAAAGAGGCTGAGTACGAATCAGGTTTGTGATGTCACACCGGGGACGGAAGTGAATCGACTCGTGTTGCATTACAATAATTATCTATTGTGTGCAATGAAAATTTGTATACTTTGCGCTTCGAAATGCCTGTTAGATATGCTGAATACGATTGTTCTAACACAACAGATGCTACAAATCAAATAGCTCTACATCCAATACCATATTATGGGGATTTTCGGCTGCAGTCATTAAGGAGAAGGAAACATTGGATAGATTTGGATAAATTGAAGCGAGCCAGATCGGAGCCGTCTCGTCAATTGTCAAATGCATGTTTGCACAAAGACATACATTTCAAGGCGGATGACTGTTTGTACACTCTGAATATGTCGGGGCTAAAAGAACGCACATTTCTTCAACTAATGAGGGATGAAATTGGAGTTAGCGTTTATCCGACGGTGCAAACTGTGGTCGAAAGGCAGGACATATAATAATGCTATTAAAACTGCGAGGGTGATTTTATATACACGCAAGGTGAGACAATGTCTTATATTGCCTTTAATATACTTGGTTTTATATTTGTTGAGAATGATAGTATTGGATATTAAAAATAAAAGGAACTTTATTAAATACATAAGTCTTGTGGTTGTTCAGCGTCGCTCCTGACGAAGGGCCTTTGCTCGAAACGTCGAGAAGATATTTTGATGTTTTATAGGCTTGCGTGTACCTCCACTACAAAGATTCTATTGAATACAATTGTATAATACTACATTAAAATTAGATTAAAAGGCGAATTAGACGCAAGGTTAGACAATGTCTTTTATATTGCATGATATACACTCTGCTAATATCTGCAATACTATGTTTCCGAGGCTCCAGGACAGTGGTAACATTGAAATATCGAATGCAGTTGGGGCACTTGGCAGTATTGATTATAGATGCACTCAAATATGAACATTGAATATTTTAATACTGGGTTTGTTTTAACAACAAACTTTTAAAGAACTTTTATCTAATTTTAATGTAGTATAATACAATTGTATTTAATAAAGTTCCTTTTATTTTTAATATCCAATACTATCATTCTCAACAATTATACAACCAAGTATATTAAAGGCAATGTAAGACATTGTCTCACCTTGCGTGTATATAAAATCACCCTCGCATTTTTAATAGCATTATTATATGTCCTCATGCCTTTCGAGTTTCGACCGCAGTTTGTACCGTCAGATAAACGCTAATCCCAATTTCATATCTCATTCAGTCGAGGAAATGTGCATTCTTTTAGTCTCGACATGAAATGCATGTCTTTGTGCAAACATGCCTTTGATTGACGAGACGGCTCCGTTCTGGCTCGCTTCAATTTATCCAAATCTATCCAATGTTTCCTTCTCCTTAATGACTGCAGCCGAAAATCTACATAATATGGTATTGGATGTAGAGCTATTTGATTTGTAGCATCTGTTGTGTTAGAACAGTCGTATACAACATATCTAACAGGCATTTCGAAGCGCAAAGTATACAAATTTTCATTGCACACAATAGATATTTATTGTAATACAACATGAGTCGATTCACTTCCGTCCCCGGTGTGACATCACAAACCTGATTCGTACTCAGCCTCTTTTCTCCCGGACATGTCTTGAAAAACCCTATTTTTTTGCCTGTTTGATCTAAATTATCT